CCTCCTCCTCCTCCTCCTCCTCCTCCGCCCTCCTCCTCCCTCCTCCACTGTGCTCATGCCCTTGATGCTGGCTCCCGGTGCCCTTCCAGCCGGCCGCGCGCACGCAGACGGCCGCGGACGCGGCGGCCAGCAGGTGCCCCAGGGCGACCGACGTGCACAGGTGGCACAGCGCCTCCAGCAGCCGGCCGGCCTGGCGGGGCTGCGGCGCCGGCACCGTGGCCGTCGCGCCTCCTGGCTCCGGCTGTGGAGGCCGCCCAGTACTCGAGCGGGGGATCGCCTCTGCGGACTTGACGTGCCCCGAGAAGGATTTTTCCCGTCGAATCCACGAGAGCTGCGCAGAATGCTCGTGCCTTCCCGAGCACGATGTTCAGTTCTCTCGCAGATCCGACGGGCGACATCAATTCTTGGGTGAGTCAATTCTGCAGTCGATCCCCCCTTCGACCCGTGGGGCTGGAGTGGATGTGGTCGGAAGGTCGCACCACCCCAGACATGCTCGAGGTCGCAAAAGCATCACGACGAGGGGTCTCTCGCAACGTTCGGTTTCCCGGGGAACCTCCGCCTCGAAGGCCGCCGAAGGCCGTCAACAAGGCGGCGCGGGACGTCCGGGGACCGCGTACTGCTGGCGGCACGCGCCAGGGGGCAAGGGGAGGGGGAAGCCCTCTCATAGGGGAACAAGAAGTGGCATAAACATAAAGATTCGGAGGTACGCGCGGATTTCTCGGATCCGCGCTGGACCCCCCTGGCGGCGCCTCCGGCGGAGGAGGAGGCTATCTTAGGAGGAGGCTGCCCGCGCCTGCTGAGAAGCAGGGGTGCTTCTGAGAAGCCCTCCCCCCTCCCTCCACCCTCTGCGCGTGGCCCCGTGTTAAGAATACAGTGGAGGCCAGTCAAAAAGAAGCCTTCCACGAGAAACCCAGCCCCGAGACCCCAGGACGTCCCTCGACTTCTGGCGTGGGGGCGTCACCCTGTCCGCGGCCGAACCATCGAAGCCCAAGAAAAAACCCAGGGCACCCTGGAGGCAAGCGGGGTTTTTGTCTTGGCATGGGCCCCCACTGTATCACGACATGGCATGTCGGGGACTGCGACGATGCGGCGGCGACTCGGGGACGGCGTCCACCAAGAGGGGGGGGGGGCGCAACACGGCCCCTGGCCGTGTGCGCGGACGAGGGGAAGGGGGCCAGGGGATGTAAGCATAGAAGGACATCCTGGAAGATGTCGTGGCCCTGGCCATGAAATCCCCCCCTCCTAATCATCCCCCCCTCCTTAGACACCCCCAACCGATGCATCAGCGACGTCGGATTGGATATAGGCGGGCTCAGATCCGCATCGCCGATGGCGTCGGCGATGGGGCTGGCGTCGCCGATGCGGCGCGATCCTCCGACCCCACCTGCCAGGACTCCCGTTTGGGCGGCCTGGATGGTTCTCCGTGGGCTCCAAGAGGGCCTCGGCCAGCGTCAGCAGAAA